CTTCTGGTTGGTCTTCTGCATTAAAATTGACAGGAACAACGCGCCCTTAAGTGGACTACGGTTGTCTGTCTCCAGGTAGGCCCACACTACCGACTCCTCTTGGTCGTCCTCGTCATCCTCATCATCTTCTTCGAGGGTACTGGCATCCTTGGCGTCGTCACTGTGTAGTCCTCTGATCAGGTCTTCGTCGTACGTAGTGAAGGAGCCGTTCTGGAACACCACGACGACCTCCTCTTTCAGCTTCGAGTGCACCAACAGTGCAAAGGCCTTCGAGGTTGACTGCAGCGGTGAGCGGCGCCATTTAGCCACGTCCAGATCCGTGTCGCGCCAGACGGCGAGGCCCTTCGTTGGCCGGTGAGGCTGTCGTCTTATTGGCCTCCTGACGTCTAGCCTGGCGCGCTTTCTTACTGGCGCCTACGCCTGGAGCGCCGCATACACCGAAGAATACACGCGAGTGCGGATGACGTGCTGCGGCCACATGCAGCGCATGGACACTGCCAGCACGGAAGGTCCAGTGGTTGATGCATTTTCGCGCAGGAGCGCTGATCTCGCGTACATCTTCCGCCGAAGTCAACAGAACCAGGCGACTTCCATCTTTGGCGACAGAAGATGACGCACCCAGCAACACAGCGTCGGCAGCGCGTCCGCGCCACAGCGATATGGCCTGGTCCAGCTCCATGACGGTCAGGACGTTGACACAGTAACCCAAATGTGCAATGCAGTCGTTTTGGTTGGGCCAGAGGCTTTGATTGTTTTAGCCAATAGATACGAGTAACAGAACAGGTTCACCATAATTGGTCAAATATCAATCGACCTAACTTCTTACCGTACTTTTGACTTTGATATTTCTGTTGACTAGTTTCCGTGATTATTTAAAAATATTCAGAATTCCTAAGTGAAAAACAATTTCTATAAGTAAAAAGTTAGTCGCGCTCATCAGCGTAGTGTCTTTAGCACCGACCAGGGATGCCGAAAAATACATTGATTGCCCGTACAATACAATAACGACCCTGAAATTATTTATTTTTGGACCTTAAGGCTGACCATAAATAATTTACCTTTTAATCTTGTGGATGAATACCTTAATTTACTGTTAACTTAGGAAATCGCAGATAGATGGCTATCAAGAGCCCACCTTCTTCCGTCTAACGTACACTCACTTTGCTATCTGCATCATGGCCACCCAAGCCTTTTCCAACACTCGAATCTCTGGTTTCTACTTTTCAGCCGTCACGGATGCATTCAATGAAACTATTGAGGGTCTCTATCGGTGCCGGTGTGGTACCGTTCGTCGACAAGCACCCCGAAGTGGGTACACCAACCTCATCCAGCACGTACGTAGCCAACACCCTGACTACGTGGACGTGATGCGCGAGGCGGACACCGGTCGCGGCACCCTGGAACCATGGATTCGTCAGCGTGCACGGGACCTACACGGGTGGCTAGACTGGATAATATCCAGCAACCTACCGCTCCGTTTCTGTGAGAACGCTGGGGCGAGATGGTAAGATACTGTGTCTCTTCTGCTATATCGTTTTCACGACTAATTAATTGTGTGTAGCTACACTAGCCTATCTCCTGTTTCTGTCGAGACATTGCGCGGGGCCATGGAAGGGGTAACGCTGGCAGTAGAAGCCAAGATTAAGGACGAGATGCCTAACCAGCTTGGTCTCGTCATCGACGGATGGTCGCACGACTCCGAGCACTTCCTAGCCGTTTTTGCCTGCTACGAAGTGGACGGAGTCGCGAAATGCCCACTAGTGTCCATGGCCCCTCTGATCAACGAACCGGACGATGACCATGGTGCTTGCACGCACGAAGTATTCCTAGCTACAATACTAGAGCGAGACTACGGTAAGCGAA